AATACATTATCTGCAGCGCCCTCTCTTGTGAAGCGAGCATTCATCACATTTGCTACAGAGATATCGTCTCTCTACACAACTAGGGGGCAAATGATAAGATACGAATTCTCACCAGCTGCTAATGGATATGCTGAGTTACTCCGAAGTCCTGACCACAAAAGCGAAGATTGCAGTAAGGCTACAAAATTTGACCAAAGTCACCCGACAAAAGACTTCAGTTGGGCAGCCGGATAAAAACGCTGGACTTTACAATGAGCTTGCGAGTTACGATTACCGCTCATTTAGCGTCCATGGATGGTGTAACTTCAGTGTTGTGGGCGACACTATACATCAGCTAACAGGTAATTGTATTTGTGGTTTTACTGCTTTTTCGTGTAAATTATTCAGAGCAGACAAAGAGCACAACGCTTCATCATACCAACCTTTTCTTATGCACCCCATCCTTTGTCTTTATCAATGGTTGGACAAACTATGCCACAGGGTGATGGCATTGACTTCGAAAAGTGTACAGATGGCATACAAACATTTTTGGATTTTACCAGTGCAAGATAACGAATTCCGTTGAAAGCCGTTCCTAATTTGTATTAACGAACCTCAGATTTCGGTGCCACATTCCATTACACTAAAGCACCCGTCATTATATCCGAACCCAAGCCGTGTTGAACAATGGACTAGTAATTTTGCGCTTAGGGTTAATGCGATTCAAACAACAACACTTCAGCCTCAACGTGTAATTTCCCTGGACAATCGCACGCGGTGAAGATGAATGACAAATTACTGTTAATTGGTTTCTGTCCCCATGCCAGTCGAGTCTAGTGTAACCCAGGGCTCAGTTCTGGGACCACGATTGTTTTCGGTCTTCATCAATGACCTTGCACGAAAAATTGCTTGAAATTTCCTCTCTTTTGCTGACGATATCAAGATGTGGCACCGGATTCAGACGGATGCCGGTCAGAAATTACTTCAGTGTCACTTACATATGGTACATCAGCCGTCAACCAGAAATTCTTTTAAGTTCAGCTTGGACGAATTCAAGGTACTCTCCATACTACACCGGAATATCTATTGCTACAATCTAGAAACGCAAGTACTGTCGCAATCATATGTCGAACGCGACCTTGACGTACTTGTTCAGGATAAGTTAGGTTGTTCCGAGCAATCCACAAAGGTATCGAAAACTGGTAACCAGCACGTCCGCTGGCTACGACTGGCATACGGACAAATGCCTCTACTAGTTTCAAATGCTATAGATATAGCGTCTAGTGAGAGGACGTCATCACCTTGCAGGCTAACCACTGTCAGTGACAGTGGTAGATAGGTGGTGCTATATCCCAGCTAATTTGCGAATTATCTAGCCCAGCCAACTTCCCCCATGGCTCAGTGGCTTAAGCTGCTGGCTAGTTGGCATCTGCCTCTAGCGGTCATGGGTTCGATCCTCCTTAGAGGACCGAGGGAATGCGCGCCACTGACGAGCCCCAATAGGGCGAAACGCGTCTGGCGCTTTTCCGGACTAGGCTCTGCTATGTAGCTTGTGAACTGTTGGGATGAAAGCCTTATCAGATTTACAACTAAAATCCTGCTACTAATGAGTACTATACGGACAAATAGACAATTCTATTTTCAGACTGATGCTGAATGCGTCTGTTCGCCCGCATGTCGAATACGCAATCCAATCCTGTCATCCATGGCTGAAAGACGACCTTACTGCAATGGAACAACCTCAAAGTCGGGCTTCTAGCTACGTCATTGGAATGCATCACCTTCCATACGAACAGAAGCTGAAACCTTGGGGAGTATTCAGAGGGCTGTATCGCCAACTATGAGGCGAAGTGACAATGGCGTGCTTGAATTTACTCAATCCAAATCATGTGTGCCACTCTTTACTGCAACTGAGCAGTAACACCAAGCTAAGAGACCACTCCTTGAAAACAGCAGTACAGTAGAGACGTCTGGAGTGCAGTAGAAATTTCTTTTCCATTCGCCTTATCAACCATGGTCCGCTATCACCGAATCGCGTATTTGTGTATCTAGCACAGCCATATTTAACAGTCGGTTGTATGGAGAACTCCGCCGCTTACATTTTGGTATTTAGCACCACTGTCCATCCTACGCCCAAGAAATAGCGTGAATTTATTTTTTGCCTATTGAAACTATGGAAAAACTCGGAGTGCAGGGCTACTGTATTACAAATGAAAAGTCTATTATTTGGACAGTAAAACTATTAACTCAAATTTTTCATTAAGGTTTTGATAACCCACTAGACTACCCAACCGGGAGTTGTAAAGCATTGTTTCTTAGCCCGTATAAATTCATTGCCCATTGTCCATTGTTCGTGTAGGGTTGATTTAGACATACTGCATGCCATTCCCTTTACTGTAGTCCTCTGGTGAAGCTACGAACAGAAATTTCCTGACCAACGTTAACGTACACCCTCAGTAATCAGTGGGCTTCCTCCAGGACAGGCGGCTACGAAAATTCTGCCGAACTTATGACAAAGAATCAATAGGACAATGGTATATAAGCTATGAAAAAGCAGGCACTTATCAGATCCCGTAAAATGGACGAGAGAAAAAAATATTTAAACCATCGGAAAGCCTGGCCATAAATCTGATTGCGAGCTGATGAGCCCACCGATCTATTTTCAAGCACACAAATAAGTTTGGCCTAAACTCGCTGGGTTGATTCAAGGGACCCTTTGCTTTCACAGATGCTCTCCATTATGGAATATCAAGTGCAGCGAGATCACCATTCTGTCAGGGATACCACACCTAGACGGCGCACTTCACACGGGGTCAAACGTAGGTGTTAAGCAGTTACAATATGCTCGGTATGTTTCAACTGATACAATATCCTGGTATTACACATGAGGACGAATATTCGCGGTAAAGCTCTTTTTCAGTGGTTCATCATCAGGCTAATACACCACAAATGAAGGACCTTAACGTTCATGTCATTCATTTGTGGTGTAGTAGCCTGATGATGAACCAGTGAAAACAAGCTTGTTCGAGAACATTTGTTCTGATAGTTACAATATGATGGAAGGGTCCAATTGACAGATGTGTTGTGTAAAATGTCGTCTTGTTATTTATCGGTTTTCGACTCGTTCGTGGATTGTTTCCATCAGTCAAGGTTGCTTAGAACAAAAATAGACTTACTTATACAACTAAGTGAGAGTTCTTCGTGCCGTCTTCCAAGTCATCTAGTCTTCCATAACACTGTTGATCTTAGTCTCATACAAACAATGCCGAAGCGACTACCTGGAACTAGCATTTTAACTTTCGCTTTTGAGTTGTAGGTTTCTTAGTTTGTTAGAATCTGTTCACACTGGAGTTATCGTCATCATTACACAGTAGCTGAAGTTGCGAAACACGCTTCAACTGTTGTGGTTGAATGGGGAAGGTAAGCGGGATGGGGAGAGACAAAGCAACTTACAACACAAACGCCACTGAGATCGGCTCCTCGTCATGTCAACAAGTGTATCCAACCAGACATGTTGCTGGTCCTTTAAATCCAAGCGCAGTAGTCGAGAGACAAAAACCGATACGATGGACTGGATTTCTTTTGAACAAACCATTGTTTGGTCTCCCCACCTGTTCTTCCATCCATACCAGTTCGCGTAAACGATGCAGGTAGCGGGAGTAGGTATGATGGCATGCGCATTGCCAACACATGTTATGAACGCATCAGACATCGCGACTCTCGAGAGAATATTAGTTATGCATCTAAGAGATAAACGCCACACAACGGTGTGATAGTGCAATGTCTAAACTGTTGATAATTCACATTCTGCACTGGAACATATTGATCTTAACTTTTTTATTGCATGTGTCATCCTGTGGGTCTTGTGGTTATGCTTTTATCCCATTATACACTTTTGATGTAGCGAAGTAGTAAAGTTAGCGCCTACGTCACCATGGTTGTAACCACACTGATAAGCAAAAACCTTACTTCGTTTTCTGTTTTCTTTCTGCATTTCTTCACCCCACGCAGGCTCAAGACTCTAAACTCCGCCAACCTTTTCCATGCTCTATCAATTGTGCGCCCGATGATAACGAGAGAATAAACGAAAATCGGAGTGTCCTCTCTGTGCGCATGTGACGTAGGATATATGAAGTTGGACAGCGGGGCGAGGAGCGGATGGCTGAAACAGCTACTAATACCCAGATTTTCGGCCTACATCTATGCCAAGGAGATTAATTTGATTTACCATGCAGTAATAACGGTGGATACAATAAGCGCCATGTGTCTCAAAGGGCCGCGTAAGCCATACTAGACGAAACACACACAACTGTTATGTAGAGTTGGGTTTAAATGTGCCAACTATTGCTAGTCTTTTTATTGTCTCGGACAACTTTATCGAGGGAAAATGGGCAGTAATGTAAAAGAAATAGACACACAGGCGACTGCATGGTATAATTTGTAAAAAGGTATATACGTTAAGTTGTTTTTTACATGGACCTGAACCTACAGATAATTCACACGTAATTGCAGCAGAAAGACATTGTTAACTCGACGATCCGACGCTGATCTCATTACATTAGCGTAGCTTTCCAATGTGCACAAGCTTCTTTCCTACCAGTAAACAACAGTTGGAATGGTCCGTTCTCTTAGCAGCCAGAGTTAACAACAACAGACCATGTGGTCACGTGCTGTGGTTACTAAGCGCACCTACATTTCCACGGACGAAAAGTGATGTAGATTTGCAACCTCACTGACGGCTTCCACAATGCGATAGCTGTTGTCTTAAGATCTCATTCCGCTGCTAACCATCGGGTAGCCTCAATTTTCAGTGTGTGTCGAGCAACCAACGTGCTGGTATGATTAATCCCCTTTCACCAGACTCCTAGGTTTTCACATTAAAACGATCAGCACACTATTCTGGTAGTAGCAGTAGTAGTAGTAGTAGTAGTTTTTTAGTCTTACGTGTATACAAGTATTTTTCGGCTAGACTAACGCAAGCTGATGTGTCTGTCCTTCAACAGTGTTACTAACCATAGTCTGGAAGAAGCTGAACAGGAACCAGATTTATTTATCGCGAACTGTCAATGTGTTTAAACAGAAGGAAATTCCGTGTCACAGTCAGGTGTGCGTAAAGAAGTGATTAGCAGCTCTGCTGTCCTGTGTGAAACAAAATGATGGAAAAGTTGTTTTACAAGGAATACTTCGCTGTAATTATTACCACAAGCCATGCAGGCCAGCGATAAAGAAAAGAAGGCTGGCTCATAAACCAAATAAATTTATATCTGCTTACGAAACAAACTAAAGCCAGGAAGTGAATTGTTACATCACGGTAGTTATTTGCTCATGTATATTAGGCACTTACTCGGGATTGAATTTCAAACTATTTAGCATGTATCTGCCAGCCAAGTTCCGTTTATGGTAAAGCATAGGATGGCTTTATTAGCTAGTACAGTATTCTATACTCTGGATAGCCACACACCATGGGATTGATCACAGTTATACCAATAAATTATGTGCGGTGGATGTCAGACTCGGAAGTGAGAGGTTAGGAAGGCGAGAATAGTTTGAACCTGAACAGCGCCAAACCTGGTTCACTTGGTGACGAAATAAGATGGACCAAACTTGATAAACAAACTTCCATCATATCCATGTTTTCCAAAGTAGTAATTGTCGTAATGTATGCCGAGATCACGCATGTCCACAAACATTTGCACATTTCGCACTGTGGGGATGAAGCCGACCATGTTGCATTCTCGACAGCTGCCAGGCTCCACTCCGTGATTTGGATACTCTGTTACCCTCGGTCGGTAATGTTCGAACCAGACCTAGCGAAAGCATTAGAAGAGGACAGATAGGGTGAAGTGCAACGTGATCAATATTTGCACAATTACGTCATATGGTTAAAATAATGTAGAGAGCAGAGACATTCGAGGTCGAAATAAACTGGCCATCCTATGGCGTCCATCTTTAACTGGGTATTCGCCTGTAAAAGAAACTAGGATGTCCTAATTGCGAAGGCTCTGGTACAGGTTCAAACTATAATGTCTCTAACCGAAAGGTGTAATCCAAAGATTTATTCATCACTCAGCCTTCCGCCGAGTGTTCTATTCAGTTAAACTTCCATTTGCCACGGCAAAATGAATACTCCCTAAGACTCCGACTGCCATTGGTGCACAGAGTCGAAGACCCGATTTCTGGCTGCCTATTCACGGTGGTCGACTTAATGCATTGTGTCGTTCTGCTGTTATCTATGGATCAGTGCTTGATTCTTCTAATAACTAACACTTCACAACACATTAATGAAGTTAAATGTAGGAAATAACAGTAAGCAGTTTATGTGCCTGGTCATACGCACCTGGGCATCAGTGTACATAAATTGTGAGCAGTGGTGACGCGCACTCACAGATCAAAGCAAAGCACACTTCCTGGTCAATATCGGTCATTATGAGCATTGGAATAGATTCCAAAACGGAGCTTTGTACCGAGTTGCTGCCTTCCGAAAGTGCATATCAAGACCAGTTTCGTTGGTGATTGAGATATTCTAGCGCAGACAACCAGTATCCGGAGTGTCGTAGATCTTGACGGCCGGCTTAACACTGTGTTATCGAGTTCTGAGTTTCATTTGGTGCAGCACTTGATTCACTGTCTTACCCCGCGAACCCATCGAATCTGCTCGGAAGACACCTTAAACGCAGAACTGACTTCCATGCAGAAAATGTTGCGCGACAATGGATACCAGAACAGATCTATTTTTAGAAACCTTAGAAAGAAGCCTAAACAGGTGCCAGTGTTAACATCGCCAAAGAAAGTGCTATCTATACGACCTTCCCAGCAGCTGTGCTAAAATGAGTGTTTTCGAGGGAACCACTCTTCCATTCACGAAACAAGCATAGGTTGCCCATGATGACCGCTTCAATGGTTATTTATCAGTTCGAGTGCGCCTGTGGCGCAACCTATATCGTTCGAATGGCGCAGCACTTGTCCAAACGCGTGAATGAACACTGCCCACATTGGTTGCATCAAGGTGGCACTGGGGCCATTAGCAGTTCCATTCTGGGTCATTTGTCGACAGTGGGTACCAGGTGGATCTAAAGCCTGCTGCTAGACTAGTGTACAAGATTCCACCGGACAGATCGAAAGGTCAACACCTTCGTACACTTGCGACGGCCGAAGCAAGTTAAATTCGATTATTTCAACCGTCCTTATGTTCGCAAAAGAAGGTAGTCCGGGCTCTTCAGGTTTCTTGGCCCGCGAAAACAGTACATACTGAGGTCAATGACATAAGGTCAAACTCCGCAACATGTAAGTAACCACGTTTGATTTTTCGTCTATGCTACTTGTGCTAAATGGGTTGATTTAACTGTCTCTTTTAGCCCTATATTTGATTGTGCTGGTCTGAGCATGAATCATAAAAACAATTACTTACTAAACGGCCTCGTTGTTCTTATTAACTTAAATGGGAATTTTAAAGTTACTTGTCAATGTGTCACTGAACAAGGAACAATGATTTAGCAGCGTTAAAAATCAGGTGCTTGACAAGTCCATTAGGATGGTTGGAGTAGAACATAAAAGTATCAAACGATAAGTGAATCGTCAGTTACAGCGTCTATCGATCTAACTTCACTGTTGATAAAGGATAGTTGGAAAAGGAAACCTAAGGTTTAGACACACATGAATATGGGGGAGCGGTTATAGTTCTCATACTCCGTGAGCAAAACATAAAATGGAAGTGATAGCTCACCGGGACCGTTGTGATGGGCATATCAAGTTTGGGTAAGTCCAAGCTATTCACACAAGCACTGATACAGGATATCTGACCAACAAGTCACGGGGATGGTTATTTGTTCCGAGGTAAATCATCCTCCAAGTAAAAGAACTATACCAAGTAATGAAAGTGCGAAAGAGTATCATCAAGGGGTATTAGAAAACATTAATCTAGGAGCAAAGAAGAGGTGGGTTGGAGTAGCACTCGATGAACGGACACTGAAAGATGGAAAACATTTTATCGGTAACCAAATCGGCTGTAGCGCGTGACTGGTGGTCTCTCAAGTTGGTATTGTGACTGAGCTGCAACAGATCCCGCCAGCCGTGATTGGTGTTTGCTAGCTTTCGTTATATCACTATCCGACCTCTTCTCGACGTTAATCTTCACCGCTGTACACACCAGAAGCTCGTCCTCTGCGTTTATAGATAAGGTGAAACAATAACAGTGATTCCTGTCGCTCTTCTAAGTGGAGCTTCAAGCGCATCAACATCGTGTTTACGCCCTGGACACCAAGCCTGGATAGTATATTCAACATGAGGCTTCACGTAGGCGTCCAGCGTTAGCAGAAAATTGGACGTTTCCAAGTACTCCAACGTCCCCGTTGTAAGCCTAGGTGCCGATTCGCTATTCTCTATGATCTGTTGACCTAAGTAATCCTAATCGCCTAAGTAATCCTGCCCTATTACAACGAGGTCGATTTTCTGGAAAACACGTTGCGATTGCCTGTCCCCAAGTCGATATCCATGGGTTCGCTTAAGGCGTATGCTTACGATTTTGCATCTCGTCGCGTTGAACTGGAGCCGATTTTCGCATTGCCACATCTAGGAACTGTCGAGATCGTTTTGGAGTGCCGTGGATCACCAATTGGTATGATAGCAGAATTTGAAGTCCGCAAATAGTAGGAAATTGAACTGCATTACACTAGCAACATCTTTGATGAATAGTAGGAATAAACGTGGTCCCAATACCGATACTTGGGGCACACCACACTGGACTCCTATTAGGTCGGAAATGGCGCCGCGGACTCTCACAATCAGATGACGGTGCATGAGGAAGTTGCTTATTCAACGGAACACAGGGTCACCGATTCCATAGCTTCGGAGCTTGTGAATGAGAATGCGATGGTCCAGGAGATCGAATGCTTTTGAGAAATTAAATTAGACGACGTCGACTCCTACTCTGGCGTCGCTTGATTCTGTCCAGCTTGCTCAGGCTAGCACGAAGTTTGTGCTGCAGGACCGACTTCCGCGAAATCCCTGCTGCTGTGACACTATGATGTTGCTACTCTCGTATTTTCCTTTGCCCGCTTCCACGATGATACCTTCCATAGCTTTGTATACCATGGGGGGAGAGTCAATGGACGGTAGCTCGTGGCCTCGCACGATTGCCACTTTTGTAAGTAAGAGTGTCTGTTCTATGTTTCTGTTGCATTAGACAAACGCAGAGGCAGCATACATGTATTGTAAGAGGTAAACGAAGAAAACGCGATCATTCAGAAGGAAACGGAAAATATCTTTAAAGTCTGCTGATCGATCAATCTGCCTTGAGCACACTTCAACCAACCAGAGTAAGCTCAGAGTAGCGAATCACAACACCAGCTTTCTGCGTCGAAAAACTGGTCTTATGCAGATTGGTATCTATCACTTGGTTTTGCAGTCCGTCCGTACCTGCGTAGTTGGTGCGCCAATGGATCAGGCACCTTCTGACTTTCATGTGTTTCTTGGCTGGCCTGAGAGTTGCTCTGTACAGCCGACGGGCGTTAAAAACCAAACCATTTTAAACATTGGTACATGGCTGGCCCACATTCGTGAGTGATTCTTTGCGGTGCAGACAGCCTTGAGTGACCTTTTACAGTACCACTATTTTAATTACGAAAAATGGGTGCAGGCTACAATGGAATTGAGGATTTAGAATACAACCGTTGGTATAATGCCATGCAGATCGGCACATCGGGCTCTGTAGAAAAGGACAGAATGTGTATAGCGTAACGTTTGGAAACCTGCATTACATCGTGACGTAGTTGAAAAGCACCTAGATAAAGATTCCGTGATATTCATGGCGGCAAACTTCATTACCAGGAGGGCTGTGAACACGCAAGCACAATAGACTTTTCAACAAAGCAAGAAGAAACCACATTATAACAGAATTTACTGAATTCAGTAATTTCGCGTATTCTCCTCAGCTGTTTACATACAATGAGTGGAAAACAGTGCGATGTTAACAGCAAAAATTCAAAGCGGTCGAAGGTCTTTAGGCTCAGGTGACCTGTTCCGAGGAAAACGCAATCACTAGCCTCACCAGGGTAGGGCTAGCGTGGTCACGAAATCCGTTTGCTTGCATAGATTTGGCTTCAGCCGCCGAATTGCTGCGGCCTCCGCAAACTGTAGTAAACGGGGATTAGCCTGTTTGCTAACTACCCTGAAATTGCCACGTGGGTTCTGGCATTCAGGGCAGTCAAGTATTTGGCGGGCAATAGAGCTAGTCGGTAGCTTCGGCCCCTTAACGATCATGTTTCGCCGAACATGCTCTGCAATCCTCGCTGACAGCCTTCTCTCAGTTCGGCCTATGTACTTACTACCGCAAGTACAATTAAAGAGGTAAATGCATGAGGCGGTAACTTGAGAGTCTGGTCTATCCAGGTTGGATTTACAGAGCAACCCTCTGACGTGATGCAATACCACCAGCTCAGCCGCATGGTAACACTTCTTAATTGATTGACAGAGGCGACGCCTGCATCTTCGGTCAACTTGATCTCCTTTGAAGGGCAGTGTAATGAATACTTTTTTCTTTGGGACATCGGTTGGTGGTTTATCTCCGGATCGTATTTTCGCGTGCCGAGTTATAAATCGCGCTGGATACCCATTCTCTTGTAGCGTCAAGGTGACTCGTTCTAGTTCATGTTCGATTGTGTCTAATGAGCAAATTTGGCGAGCTCTAGCAAAAGTGGTACGTACTAGAGCTCGTTTATAGTTCATTGAACAAAAGCTATTAAAATTTAAGTATTGCCCCGTCCATGTTGCTTTTCTGTACACAGATCGGACGAGTGTACCATCTGGCTTT